CCAGCACTCGTCACGGAATCACCAGGATAAACACCAGGGAGGATGCTCCCCGCCCACAATTCACAAAATGAACACCGGCGGGATTGCGCACACATCTGTTCCGGTGCTCAGGCCTGTGCCTGAGCAACGAACTGATTACTGGGGTGTTTTGTGGGAAATGAGTTTCTTTGGCGTGAGCAGCTCACACCGTTAGCTGAATTGCTCATTTCCACTCAGCGGATAGCTCTGGGGGAAGATCTGACTTCGGGGTGGCCTCACGAACAGCGTGGCAAAAGAGGAGAATGTGTAAGAACTTTTCTGTGTATTTATGACACTTCAATAAAAAATATACAAATAATAAAGCTTAATTAATTTTCACAAATGAGTCAAGAAACAGAATGCAAGCAACACCTCAGAAAGCCCCCCTAATGCCAAATAGCAAATCATTTAATTATAAAAGAAAATGCAATTAAGTAGCTGCTCGATTCCTACTTGGCTAATGAGAATTTACTTTGTGTCACTTCTTAATCTAAGAGCGACGCACCTTTCATTTCTCTTTGGTGAATGTTGCACCTGAGGCTGACGTTCCCTCCAGAGAAATCCTGCCCACCAGGGGCGTTGTGTCAGAGTTTGGTTACGATCTATGTTAGATGCAGAGGGAGCATTTATTATGCACCTATTATTTTAGCAACGATGTTGAGTTCTTCGCATTGATCTCACTTTGCTTTTCAAAACAGTTTTGGCAAGTATGTGGTCATTGTTATCCCATTTTACAGATGAGGAAGCTGAACCCCAGTGGTCACACACAGCGAGTAAATGATACAGGATTTGGACATGCGTGTGTTTGACCTCAGAGACTGGAAAACAAAATCAGAAGGGACAACGGGGAATCAAGGTTTTGTTCAATGCCCCTGTGCTGCTAATTGCAAACTCCCGTGTCAGAGGCCCACGCTTACATTCGTTCAATTTGCCAGGGCCTTCCTAAGCTTTGGATTTTTGGTGTAGCTCACAGCCTGGTAGAAAAGAGGCTGCGAAACCCGGGCGAAGTTCAGTGCAGTCTCTCCAGAGAACGCCCAGGGGCCAGAGGACGCGCCCCAATCGCACGGCCAGACTTCCTGAGAACCCTGACTCTGTCTGCGGCTCTCTCTGGACCTGCCACATGGACGGCAGCGTCTCTCCCTTGCCCCAGGCTCAGTGGGGTTCTCGACTTCCTCTCTCCCCTCTTGTCCTGTTTCTGGACCTCTCTCCTGTCTCCCCTAATAGTTTTCTTTTTGAGCCGAGATTTTCTCAAACTTCAAGCATTCGAACACTCCCTTTGTGATTTCGTCATGTCCGTGTTCCACTTATTTCATCATTTTATCATACTCAACTCACTTGTTTCTTTTCAAATACTGCTCAAGTCTCAAGTAACACTAGTTAAGAAATTCTGAATTTCATAAACAATATAATATATATTTAGACATGGCACATAAATACACATGAAAATATTCAAGTTATTGTTCACTTGGAAATTCTATTAAAATTTTAAAAAGTTGACACGTGTTGGTATGCGTACCGTCAAGCCATCTTGCACCTCTGGTGGAATTCCCTCTGCGCTTCGGGACATGCCGGACTGAACTTTCACCTCCTCTCCTCGCCTATCACTAGTGACCGCCATTTGCAGGAACCTCAGGGAAGAGAGGCAAGTAACTTGCAGGCAACTTCAGAAATTTCTAGAGGCAGGCAAGTAGAGGGCAAGGGCTGTAAAGTTCATAGGTTAATCATTTTTGGATGTTGTTACACTTCATTTAATCATCACAACTACCTGCTGCCCGGTAAGCAGGTGGAAGCCCATTTCACAGGTGAGCAAATGAGGCTCCCAGAGGTGAGGAGACTCACCTAAGGATTCACACCCAGATCTGTCTGACTCCCCGAAAGCCTTTTTCTCCCCTTGCTACCACCACAGCCCAGACCTGGGTGTCCTTACATGTTGGTTTTTATCTACATCTCTGTGACCACTGAAGGAAAGTGGATTCAAGGCTTAAGTACTTCACTGCGGTGATTCCGCCTTGCGGATGGGGGTGAAATGTGACAAGTGAATTAAATCACGACATGCTTCTAATTTGAGAAATTAAGCATTTTCAAACCTGACTGTCCTGTTGCTTAAAACGTCCAGTGGGTTCCCAAAGGAAGATCTGAGAAAGTGGTTGCGGAGGAGACAGCGACACCCCCACGTTCAGGGTTGTTCACCAGAGACATGGAGGCTGGGAAGAGCGTCTGTGGGCTGTGACTTACGTCTTTGATGCATTCCCAGGGCCACCCACAGTCTTTGGAAAATTATAGCAAGTTAAATAATAAATTGTGCCTTCATCTTTATGACATCTCTCTGGAAACTCTGTTAGGAACATCTGGACTCACGAGTGGTAGGGACACGCATCAGAGTCTCTGTCCGTGGCGGCACGTGGCTCTGATGTTGGTTCCAGCTCCACTGTCCACGCTGTCTCCACCAGAGGGGCCAGAGCCCTGGGTTGGATTGGGGGGTGGGGGGTTCAGCAGCCGGAGTTTGAGTCTCCACTTCTCTACTTGCTGGCTGAGTCCCCGTAGACAAGCTCCTTGACCTCTTTGAGTTTCAGATGCCTCACCTGTGAAATCAGGATGATCATGCTGTCTGCCATGTAGGGCTATTGAAAGGGTCACAGGAGGAAATGCCTGTAAAATTCTTAGCGCCGTCCCTGGCATGGGGTCTGCTCTCTATGTAAAAAGTGCTTTTGCCTTCTCATTATGTTCATTTCAAAGTCCTCTGTGCCCTTGCCATTTAAAACGTGGTTCCCAGAGCAGCAGCCACAGCCCTGGGGAGCTCGCCGGGGTAAGAAATGTGGAATCTTAGCCCCACCTCAGAATTGCTGCGTCGGATTCTGCACTCAGGCAAGACGCCGGGCAATTCTCGTGAGCACTCCCGTTTGGAAGTGTCATTGTGAGCTAAAAGGTATAAAGAGGGAGCTAGATCCGTTTTGATTATGGAAACCTGTTGGCGGCAGTATGTTGGAGCAAAAAGATATCGGCAGCAGGACACAGAACACGCCGTGACCCTAACCGGCTGGCATTTCTGGACGGCCATGTAACCCCTCCAATACTACATTTTCTCACCTGCAAAATGACTCCTATATTTTAGAAATTTGTTGATAGGATAACATGAAATAATATGAAAACATATAAAAGGGTGAAAAGTAAGTTATTTTTGACTTGTTTACGTAGAAAAAAGGACATCATAATCTCTACAGCTGTTAATACAGTTTTTAAAGAATTTGATTCCCCAATCTCCACATTTACTTACCAAGTGGCCATGGACAAGTTCTATTATTCGGTGTTGATTAAAATAACGGAGAATGACAGTGGCCCAGGAACCGCAAGCCTGGTATTTTCAGAAACTAAATGGGAGAGTTTTGTAGTTTGGCTAAAAGGCATCGTCCTAGAAAAGACCAGCACTGTGATCCCTGGGGCTGCTTATGTCTTTTACAAAATCGTCACTGAGCTGCAGGAGAACGTCCAACAGCCACGGGCAGGAGTCCCCACAATGATTCCGGGTAGTGTATTTCAATGTAACACACGTTTAGCTGCCACAAAAGCTTTTTATTAATTCTAAACATCACAGTCAAAGCAAGAAACAAATGATTTTGCTTGCATTAGCAGAAATCTTCAAATACAAAGAAACAAAACCCGGATATATTCTAGCACAAGAAAAACACACAATTGCACACCAAGTTGCAGCTTAAGATAAGAATTGATGAGGTGGGGAGGGGAGTGAGGACAGCCACAAGGCGCAGACTGAAGTTGTCTGGGGCAGGCAAGGAAGCGCGATGCCGGCGCGTGTCAGGAAATCCCCCCCTGAGCCTCCTGCAGGAATTGCTGCACCTGACGAGGTACAGATGCTGAGAACAGGATCGTCCAACTTTAACATCATGTCCAGCAAAAGGAGCAATGAGCCCAAAAACATTTTCTCTCCTAGGTAATTTTGAAGAAATCATGTGATAGAGTTGCAATTACTACGAGGAAACAAAAGGTTCCCAAGAGAGCCCCATGGCAGTTCCACAGTTTCTCAAACTCTTGGAAACTACAGCAAAGCAATTTCTTGTGAGATATATATATATATACATATATATATACATATATATATGTATATATATACATATATATATGTATATATATACACATATATCCCCTCCTACCCACAAATATATATGTATATATATACACATATATCCCCTCCTACCCACAATTCTCTCTCTCGTTTTAAAGGAAGAAAAGGAATAACAGGAAAAAATACTTTGTTTTTTCAAAAAAAGAATGCTTTATACTTCAAAATAACAAGGTATCAAAATACAAGTATACAAGTATATTCCGATTGTTCAAAGTATATTCTCCCTCTTGTTAGAATTTTGAAGGCTGCATAAGATTTAATGCATAAAAACTCAACAACAATGAATATCACCACCACCACAACAAAAATAGAAGTGGGTTACAGCCCATGCTATTTTGAGGGCAGCAGAGGAGAAGAGGGAAAAACAGCATAGCATTGCTTCTTTCACAAAGAGTTCACTGTTTTTAGACGATTGTTTCACTGTAAATAGAATGATAGGGCAAAAGCTCAGTCTCTCATGGAGCAAGTGCAAAGCTCTCTATAGCTGACAGCTGGAGGTTGTTGCTGTAACAGGTTTGCTTGTGAGAGGTGGGAACCACCCTTCCTGTTGGTGAGAGTCCTTCTGCCAGGGACAGGAGGCAGTGAGCAAGCAGGCATCACAGACCCTGCGCGTGTGGGAAAGAGCGCAGACAGCACCCAGGGCAGCCTGCGCTGACTTCTCCCAGTGACTATTTGGGAATGGGAGTTGGACTTACCCACCTTGCGATCCTTTCAGGGAGCCTGTTATGTTAACGCATTTTTATATCTTCCAAGTATTTTTTTTTCTTTTTCTTTTTAAACATCTTGGTTGGATGGAAGGTCAAAAGTGACCGGACTGGTTAGGCTTGGCGTGGGCCCTGGCGTCCTACCCCAAGTTCACGCCATTGCAGCCGCAGAGAATCTCCTTGAAGGTGTTGCGCAGTTCCAGGCTCCGGAAGGCGTAGATGAGGGGGTCGATGACCGAGTTGCACATGATGAGGACCAGGTAGGTGTTGAAGTGGGCGGTGTAGCAGACGCAGTAGGGGTTGGTGGGGCAGGCGATGATGAGGACCAGGTGCAGGAAGAAGGGGGCCCAGCAGCAAATGAACACCCCCAGCAGGATGGTGATGGTGACGGCCCCCTTCATGCACGAGTGCTGCTGCGGGGCCACCCCGTCAGCGGGCGGCAGCGCCGCGATGCGCTGGACGTGCAGCCGGGCGAAGAGGAACATGTGCACGTAGAGGGTGCCCATGAGCAGCAGCATGGCGAAGAACATGGTGATGAGGCACACGATGACCATCTTGCTCTCGGAGTAGATGATGAACACCACGCCGCAGACGCCGCAGCAGACCCAGATGGCCGCGATGAGGGCGAGGGCCTTCCTCACTGTCATGATGCTGTGGTAGCGCAGCGCGTAGAAGATGGTGACGTACCTGTCCACGGCGATGGCCAAGAGGTTGCAGATGGAGGCCACCAGGGAGATGCAGATCATGGAGTCGAAGACGTTGTCCATGTGCTGGATAAACTGGTCCTCCAGGCTCAGGTAGTCGCTGTGGACCACGGCGATCATGATGGTCTCCAGGGCGTTGGACACGCTCACCAGCATGTCGGCCACCGCCAGGCTGCAGAGGAAGAAGTACATGGGTGAGTGCAGGTTGCCGTTCCGGACCACGGCCAGAATGACCAGGACATTTTCCAATAGGCTGACGATGCCCAGAGCCAGGAAGACCTCCGGCTGGATGAAGACCTGCTCGCAGAACGCACTGCTGCTCTGGTTGCTGAAGGAAGGCGCTTCGGGGTGCCCTGAGCTGTTGGGCAGCGTGGGCTGCACGGGGGGCAGGCAGCAGGAAGCGTTCATTGCTAGCAGAGGCTGGTCCCAGCTGGGGCTCTGGCAGGTTCACGGGAGCTGCTGCTGCTGCTTGCAGGAAAAGCAAGATCTCCCTCCAGATACTTCTTTTGGATGCGTGTGCAGTCCAGGCTTAGATTTTGTTCTCCCACGATTAAAGGATGGGGAGAAGAAGGGGAGGGAGAGAGAGAGAGAGAGGAGAGTTAGTAGCTTGGAGACATAGAAAACTTTGCTTATCCAGGAGGAGTAGTTTTATAGCTACTCTTATCGTTGTCTTTTCTTCTTCCCTCTGACCCCTCCTCTGTCTCTCCTCACATTTCCACCTGGGATCAGAAAATCTGCCACCGGTTGCTACAGTTACGACTCTTTTCCTAAGTGAAGGGAGAACACTCAGGTTTTATATATCAGCCAAGGGCAAACAACTCCTACTCGATGTTCAACGCAGCGAAATGACCACTGAGCATCAGGCGCCTCTATGACTGACAGCAGGTCCCTGCTCCGGGCTTCTGCGGGGAGATGCGAAGGCAGGCTGTGCCCTCTGCAGGCCAGACTGGTCCTCTGCTCGCCGGTGTGCCGAGCCGTTTCTATTTGTCATGGAAACCGCCACAGGCATCCGTTCGCGATCCGTTTGTTCTTTTGTTTGTTCATTCATTTGTTTTGCTTGAGAAAACATTTATTGAGCGCCTACTATGTGTCAGGTCTCTGCTGGGTGTGGAGAACATAGTGGTGAGCAAAACACCTGCTGTGCCAGAGTCTGGGGTGGGAGAAGAGAAAACAGGCAACAAGTGCTCGAATCAGGAAAGTCCAGGGGGCTGGGGGAGCAAAGAGGAGGGGCCCTAACCTGGAGGGTCAAGGAAAGTTCCTGGAGGAAGAAACATCTAGACTTTGATTTCAAGGAAGAAGAGGCGATACCGGGGGTTGGGGGCAGGTGGTGGGGTGGGGGCTGGGGATGAAGGAGGTGGAAGAGGATTCTAGGCAGAGGGAGTAAGGTGTCTGCAGCGCAGACGCAAAGGGAGTCAGCCAAGAATGTGGCTGTGGGGGTCCCACTCGACCTACTGAATCAGAGTCACCCAGGGGTAGAACCCGGATAAGTGTGTTTTCAATTTTCCACAGGTGAGCTTGGGCATAGCCGGGGTTGAAATCTACTGAAAAGGAAGCTTGGGGTTTTTGAAGCACCGAAATTAGTTTGCTCTGGCCAGAGTGTGGAACTGAGAGACACAGTCTGAGAAATGAGGCTGCAAAGATATATATATTTTTAAAGGTGAGAGATGCCTGAATCCTGCAGGACAGCAGCAGCTGTGTATGGGAGCTTGGATGGTACCCCGAAGGCAGCGGGGGCTGTGGAAGGATTTAGGTAGGGCAGGAATGAGACGGGGTCTGCATTTTAGAAAGATTCGTGGTTGCAGGGTAGAGAATGGATTGGAAGGGATGAGAGCATAGTTAAGGAGTCCAGAGTATGGGTACTGCAGAGACCCAGGGTGAGACAATGGTGACCTGGAGCAAGGGCATGGCTGTGGGGATGTGGAGTGGACAGAGATATTTAGGAGGTAGGATTATGGAGAACTGAGACTGATTGGATATAGGAACATGGGAGGGGGCAGCCAGGAATACCTCTACTTTCTTCTTAAGTAATGGGGAAGAGAGATGTTTTATGCTGGGAAATGTAAAAGGCAGAATTTAGCAGTTGGTCTACTAACATGGTGCTGTGCTTGGAAATATGGTTTAGTACTTGGTGCATTTGGTTTGTGTTAGATTTGGTTATGCACACGGATCATATATGCTCAGAAAACAGGGAGTCCTCTCACCACTACGCACGCACACACACACACACGCACACACACATACACATTCTGGGTGGATTAACGATCCATCCATCATCTAACTATGTATGTGGGTGTGTGTGAAATAGAAAAAATATGCACAGGAGAATAGAATACTTATAAAACCTTGGGGTGGAGAGAGATTCTTAAAGAAGATGGGCAACCATTTTGTATGGAAAATGGCACCATAAACAAAGTCAAGACACAAACTGAAAGAAAACATTTGCCGTTGGCAAAGGTTATTTACTATCTCTTACATACAAAGAATACTTTCACATTAATGAGAAAGTGATGAATTATCTGTTAGAAAATTGGACAGAAGATATAAATAGTAATTCACTGAAGAGGAAATATAAATGGCTAATAAGCGTATGAAAAGATGTTAAACCTTCTGAGTCAGGAGTCAGGGAAATCCAAATCAAAATGAGATTTCTATATGATTTTTCCAGTGGATTGACGAGAATTAAAAAGATACCAAATTCAGGAAAGAATGTTAGAAGAAGGACATTCATGCATTCCTAGTGTTTGTGTATAGTTTGATCATTTGGAATTTTCTATTAAAATAAAAAATGCATGTGGGTATGAATGTCAGTCTATGAACTGAGGGGCATGAGAAATAGCACTTCTGTTTATTTTCAGCAGAGCAGCTTAATTTCTGATGCTAAGCCACTGTTCTTCCAGATTGGGGAAGAGTACAAGCTTAATCCTTTTGGGGACTTCTCACCCTCAGGGTCACAACCAGAGGTGCATTTATACTGTCATAGTCTGTGGTTTCAAGGGCAGTAGTCTTACCTGCAAAGCTAGATTATCAGCAGGGACCATTCACTATCTACTAGGTCTTTGCCTGCTCTGTGCTTGGCATGGGCTGGGCATGGACCATCTTTCCCTGCTTCCATTCTCTGGTTATGTGCATCCTTCAGAGAGAACAGATGGGACCAGGCACTTCAAACCTGTGTCCTCGGAGGTATCATCATTGCTAATGAGTGTTCATTTGGTTTTCTCTAAATACTACTTCCTACTTTCCTGGTGGAGCCATACAGATGCAGTATTACTTTTTAATTGAATCTTATATAAATGAATTGGATTTACTAATAATAATTGCAAGACAGTCCCTGTCAGTGTTTGCCATATGTTGTTGGCATACATGGGAATGTCTTTTTTTAATCTGTTATAATAAACTGTAACAAGAAGATTCTTATCCTAGGAGGTAATCCACCCAGGTGCTGTATATGCCTGAAAAGCTCTTCCTCAATTTTGTGCCTGGTATACTCTTCTTATCCTTCAAGATCCAGCTTAATTGTCAATTGTTACTTATAGCTTTCCTCAAACTCCATGTACCAGTTTACCACCCTTCCCTCCCCGCTGCCAAGCCGACTGGGTTCAGCACTCCTTCCTCACTCTCAAAAGCTCAAGCCGCAAGAAAAAACGAAAAAACCATGAATTGGACTTTATCAAAATTAAAAACTTTTATACCTTAAGTTACCACCAAAAAAGTGAGAAGTCAACACACAGAATGGGAGAAAATAATTGCGAATCAGATATCTAATGATTTGTATCTAGAATCCATAGAGAACATTTGCAACTTAGTATTAAAAAGACAAATAGCCCGATTGAAAAATAATCAGCAAAGGATTTGAATAGACATTTCACCAAAGAATATAGCAAATGTCCAGCAAGCATGTTTTAAAAAAAAACTCAACATCTTAGGGAAATAGTAAAATACACTAAAAACCATTAAATTGTACTCTTTAAACAGGTGCATTTTATGGTATGTTAATGTTATCTCAATACAGCTGTTTTAAAAAATGAGATGCAGAATGTTGCATAGTTAGAAGGCACATCCATGCCACTAAAAGGGGACAATACTGGCAGTGGTCGTATCAGAACACAATGATTAGATTTTATTGTTAATCTGAACTTTTCCTGAGGGGCAGGTGCTGCTGCCTCCCCACTCCGTGCCTGCCTCTGGTTTCAGCAGCCGCTTGCTGGACAGTTCCCTGCGAGCTCAAACTTGACTCGTGCTGCGGGCTGGGAGGCTCCAACCACATTCTGCCCCAGGGTCTTCCCTCATCTGTATGGGGTGTGTGTGTGTGTGTGTGTGTGTTCCTCGCCTGAGAAAGTATAACCTGGAAGTGAAGGGGAGTGAATCCCGCCGGGGCAACCCTGAACTAATGAGAGCCAGAGCCAATAGACACATTCTCTAGACATTCTTCAGCCTCCTGTCCTCACGTGGACAACGGCAGGTGCTGCTTATGCTTTCCAGGTGTCCCCTGACATTGAACCCTGTCACCTACTGCAATAGCCTTGATAATGTGTCTTATTACTGGCTTTTCCTCCTCACCTATCTCATTTTCCCTTGACCCTCACACCTGTTTCCTGGAATCACCTGAATAAATTACCTGCTCCCAAGTCCCTGTCACAGGTCCAGCTTTGGGAGAAGGGGATCCACACTAAGGTCTGCAGAAGACCTAGTGTGTGCCAGGCTTCTCCGGCATACTCTTTCCCCTGCTTGATTCTTTACTACAGGAAGACAGGATCAGGTATTGTCCACCCAATACCTATTCTTCCCTTCTTGCTCACTAACTGACTCCTATTTTATTGGGACAGCAGCATGTCCAGCTGCAGCACTCAGGTACCAACCTTCCTTGCAGACAAGGTGGCCACATTACCAGTACTGGCCAGTAGAATATAAGGAGAGTCTTGGGTGGGACTTCCGTGGAGACAGCCCAACTAACCCACCCAGCAAACTCAACTGGCACAAACTTTTCTGCTCTTGACTGTTTCTCCTTTTTGCTGCCTGGAATGATTACATGAAGGCTGGAGCTGCATCCTCCATTTTGTGAGTCTGAAGACAAGGGCCAGATCCTATGAATGTGGATCCCAAACCTGGAACAGTCCTGAATCCTTGATAACTTTATAGAGAGGTAGCCACAGCCCTGAATTGTTTGCCTCCAGGTTTCTATGAGAGAAAAAATAACCCTTTATTTGCTTAAACTCTCATAATGTCGGGTTTTCTGTTCCATGCAGCTGAACTCAAGCCCTGATGGAAGATATTCTCTATTTTCATTCCTGACCATCTTAATTATATAAAGCTCTGATAGACTCTACTATTTAGGTAAAAAAGGAAGTGACTTCATTTGTCTGTAAATTTGTCTATAATTTTCTCAGCTATTAGACCATATACTGCTTATGGGTAGAAACTGACTTGTTCATCTTTATATGCCAGCACCTGACACAATACTTCTATATTCTCTTATTTATGTATTTATGTATGTGTGTCTTTATTAGAGTT